TATCTTGGGTAGGCGTACAGTTTTAAGTCTGCAGGAGACAAGGCCAGAGAAACAAGCCTGGGCTACAAAGCGAGTCTGAAGCCAGCCTGAACTACATAGTGAAACCCTATCTCAAAAAGACAAAAAAAAAAAAAAAAGAACTCAATGAGAAGGCCTTAGGTTCAATCCCCAGTACTGCAAAAAATAAACAAATAAATAGATAAAATAAAATGAAATAAATAAAAATCTGGTGATATAGCTGCATGTATGGAAGAGAAGAATGTCCATAGCACACTGTTAGGTAAAAATAGGCATGACTCTACTTCTTATAAAATTACACATATATAGCCTCTTGTCTCCCATGCACAAGGCCCTGGGTCCTGGGTTTGATCCCCAGCAACATAAAAAAAATTATATATATATATATGCATAAATACATGCACAGTCTGCCATCAATAGGTATAAATGACTTGTTTCAGTTTTATGCCTTATTTAATTTCCTGTATCTTTTTTTCAATGAGTATGTATTATTTTCACAATGAGAAGCAACAGTTATATATTATATATAAGCATAATGTAAGTGTGTATGTGCATATAGGTATATATATTTATATAATCTGTGCCACACACAGGCAGACCTGCACTGAGCTTAGATTGCCAACAGTATCCTCAAGAACCCAGCCCCTGAATTATCAAACATGTACACAAACTAGGTGTGATGGTGTACACCTGCTTGGGAGGCTGAGGCAGGAGGATCACCATCAGTTTGAGACCAGCCTGGGCTATGTAGTGAGTTCAAGACCTTGCCTTAAAAAAAAAAAAAAAAAACATGTTATAGGGGCTAATGGAAGCTGAGACTTCAGGTGAAGATTGGACAGGGAATGGAGACCTGGTGTGCACTTAGTCCCACCTCAGTCCTTTCTGGGTGACACACCTACTCCACCATCTGCCTAAGGCCCAGAGACTCTCACAGATGCAAGTGGAGGGGTTTTAAATCCCCAGGAAGGAAAACAGCTGGAAGCTCAGGAGAAGGTAACAAGGAGACAATGAGAAGGGAAGTGCAAAAAATTAGTGGGTGGGTGGGAGTCCATCCACCAGTCCCTCTGGGTGTAAACCCTTAGGTACTCCATTCTCTCCTCACCTAGGCTCTCCAACCCGCCCTGCCCAACCCACCTTTGAAGGCTACTGCAGCTGGGGCTCCCCTGACCTCGTGTCTCCTTTCAGCCCCACTCAGGCCCCTAGCTGACATTTCTGTGGTCATCCCACATCCCCTGAAGGCCAGTCCTGATAGACCTTGCTCCCTCTGTTACCGCCCGCTCTTCCCAACCCCTAGTCCATCAGCATTCCTGAGTCCAGAGAGGCCAAAGAACAGGATAATGTCACCACCCCCAACAGAAAGCCCCACTGGCCCAGAGGCACAACAGGTCACATAGGAGCTGACCCACCCGTCCCCACCCTGAGAACACCTCACCGTCTCATGGAGGGTCTTGAGGAAGTTGATCTCATCGCTGAGGCCGTCCACCTTGGCCTGCAAATCCACTTTGTTCATGAAGGCAGTGTCCACATCCTGAAGGTAAAGGGACAGAGGCCAGAGGAACACTGCGTCAGCACAGGGAATATTCAGTAGTGACTAAAGCAAGCCAGTGCAACCCATAGGCCCAAATGCCACCGGCCTAGGAGGAAATATACTTCTCTGGGCTGCCTGACGGGATTGTGTCAGGAGCTACCTCCACAGGCCCTCCAGGCTACATGCTGAGCTTTGTCACCATGTGTCCCCAGGGCTAGTGCTGACCTCACTTCAGAGCAGCCTGAAGCCCTAGACCCAGCATGGATCTAGTGCCTGGTGTGGACACACCTCAGCTCTGCCACCAACTAACTGTGTGACCTCGAACAAATCACTTCTACTCTGTGAGGCTCAGCTTCTCCTCAGTCCCTGGAGAACACGTGATCATTCAGATGGCCAGATGCCATCCTACAGACGAGACAGTTCCACTGGCCTGTTTAACTGGCAGCGTGGGTGACACTGAGGCAGCTGGGCCACAGCAGCACAGGTCAGAGGATGACTGGGCCTCTTCTAGCCACTTTGCCAGGTTAACCTCCTGGGGTTAGGGCCCACTTTCCTCCTCTCTGGATCCCTGGGGACCCAGCACTCTGGCAGGTTGTGTGCCAGTGAGTGTGCGCTGAGTCAAAATTGTAAAAGCTGTGCAGCTCAAAGCCCTCTACAACTCTCCTAACCGCAAGCCCACCTGCACATGCCCAAGACGGAGAACTCATCCTGCCTTGAGGCAGCCCATTGCATTCACTCAGAAAACATCTCAGGCCAGCCAGGTGCCACCCTTGTCTGGGACAAATGTCACTGCAATATAGCCCTGCTCACGTAAGAGGGCCCCAGGATCTCCTGTCCCACATGTTTTCAGATACTGTCCCCCGCTGCCTGTCTGTCCCCTCACCTTCTTCAGCATCACAAACTCATTCTCAGCAGCCATGCGGTGGTTCATTTCCTCTTCATACCTGCATGAGGGGAGAGGCATAGTGTTTGTGCAGCTTTGCCCCCAAGCCCTCTTGCACAGGTATGAAACGTGCCCTGCCTCCCTTTACTGCCTCCTTAACGACACACCTGAAAAACAGGTGTCAGAGCTACAAAACTTACCTTCCCTGACCTCAATACGGCTCTTTCTAGAGTTTTGAATCTTAGCATGAAGGGGAAGGAGCACAGGACAAAGGTTACATCTATCAGGGGAAAGAAGGCAAGTGCTGGCCATGCTGTGGTCTGCTTTCTAGGGCCTGCATTGGTATGTATGTCCTGGGCATCAACCCCTAATCCCATACAGAGGCAGGGTAACTTTGCAAGTCACTAAGCTGCTAAGTAACAAAGCCCAGACTTAAGTCCTGGCAGTTCACTGTACAGCCCAAGACTTAAGCACTGGCTAATCCCATGCATGAGGGGTGAACACAGTGCCTAAAGGGGAGGGCGCTTGCAGAATCAGGACAAAGGATATAGCAAGTCCTGGAAGACCCAGGCCCCAGCTGGATGATCTATACTCCTAGCTACTCCCATAGCATCTGCTCCAACCTCAGCAAACATAGCAAACAGGGACAAACATTGGCCTAATCCAGTGTTTATTTAGGGACTCAAAAATGGGTACAGGAAACAAGAGCACAGTGATACTCAAGAGCTGCTGGGAGCAGCAGGAGAAGCCTAGGGTGGCTCCGGTGGGGGACAGGATGACCACACAGGCCAAGTCTCTCCAGGAGCCCAGGCTCAGGGTATTCACACTCCCAAAGTTGCACTTAGGTCCTGTAGAAACTACGAAAATATCTGTGACTCTCTCTCCCTCCTGCACCCATGCTGTGTGAGAAGCACAGATTGTATGGATTAGAGGACCCTGGGCAGCAGTACACGTGGTCCCTTCCCTGTGCCTGCTGCCAGCTCTGGCTTCAGCCACACACCCACAGGAAGGCACCCTGGGGGCCCTGTGTGGGGGAGATTGATAGGGGGCATGTGTACACGCATGCATCTCTGTGTGCATCCCTGACAGCAGGAGTTGGCTGGTTTACCCCAGGCCTTCCCTGCCCTGCACCTGCCTGTGGGATTAATCTGTTGACTTTCATCCCAGGAAAGCGGCCGGTAGGGGACAGTCCCAGAGCCTTGTTTATTCTCCTCCAGCCAGAGCCAGAGTATGGCTCCAGCTTAGTCATACAACCACAAGCAGAGCACAGAATGCATTTGCTGCCCCCAGGGCCCACTGGCAGGGGTGCCAGTGTGGGTCCCAGCCCAAGTCCCGAGGTCTGGTTTCCTCTGGATGAGAAAAGAGTGCTCAGCAAGCATTCAAAGGCCTGTCCTCAAAACCCCAGTCTTCCTGGCCCTCCTTACAGCCTCCTTTCTGGCACTGCCTGACCAGAATCCCCGTCCAAGCCCCTGTAGCCTCACCTATTACTCAGGACGATCATTCTTCCCCCTTGCTCTTTCCTCCTCACATCAGCCCCCTGTTCCCTGCTGGAGTCAGGGACCCAAAGTTCAAGTCCCAGAACCCAGGAACCTACTACCTGAGGCTTTCTGGTCTCTAATTCCTCACCTGCACAAAAGTGAACTGTTCTGGAATGATCGGTGAGGGTCATACAAGTTCTGAAGCACTCTTGCTGTAGGATATCTTTTGCCTACCCTATCTTGGGGCTTGCTCAGGCACCCCCGCAAAAATTAAAAGAATTATGCAGGTCAGGGTGGGCTGAGACATTTCCTTCAGGGTAAGGAGGAAAGATCAGAATGACCTGAAACAGCCCCAAGGACAAGGAGGGGAGAGGAGAAGCAAGAACTATGTCAGTAGAGACCACCTCTCCGGGAGTAACTGCTGAGGAGCTGCACCCTCTGAGCCCAAGCCAGGGGAACTCACAGAGGGAAAGCTCAGCAGGGTGCACTGTCCCTGGCACAGGCCCTGGGAACATACTTATTCTTGAAGTCTTCCACCACGTCCTGTATGCTCCGAAGCTCCGCCTCTAGGCGGCCCCTGTCCAACTGCAGCTTCTCAAGCTGGCCCCGCAGACCGGCAATCTGTGCCTCAAAGATTCGAGGGAGGCTGCTGCTCTTAGCCGACTTCTGCTCCTGCAGCAGTGCCCACTTGGTCTCCAGCATCTTGTTCTGCTGCTCCAGGAACTGTACCTGCGTGGGGCAAAGAGAAGGAGACGCATGAGGGGCCCACTGTGCCACCACGGCAGGGTCGACGAGAGTCTTGGGTCACTCGGCACACCCCATGTTCCCACTGGCTGTTCTCCCACCCAGGACCCCCAGTGCTTGTCCCTCTGCTCTGGGACTGTGTCTCAGATGTCTTCAAGTGGAAGCCAGTGAGCAGCAGGCTTGGTTTACAGATGCATCAAGGTCTTCACGCTGCTTTGCTCCATCTTGAATTCTCTTACCCCACCACCAGCACCACCAGCCAAGGAGCCACCTTCCTATCTCTAGGGCCAGGTTGACCAGGTCACCCCTTCCCTTCAGGCTGAGACCTCTTCTCTTCCTTCCTCAGTATCCTCTCCTCCCCCTTTCCTCCAGCAAGGCCTCAGATTAGAGCTCTACCACCAATGCCCTGCGAAAGGAGCGCCTCATATACCCAGTGCTGAGGCCCAAAAAGGCTCTTAAACACAACCTGTGTGCCCGGGAATGGGAGGCCACAGGGCCGCCTCAAAACCAGCAACTCTGGCCACCAGCACCTTAGTGTACCTGTAAGAAGGTACAACAGCAGGAAGGAACGTGGTCTGGGTGATCTGTGGCCTCCAGCAACACCTGAAGGATGTGCGAGGCCGAATGGTAAAGATGATGAGGACATAGGTGGGGTAGGGGACACAGAGGCAGGCCAGGGGAAACTTGGTCTCAGTCCAAAGGAGAGGGCCATGGCCAGAGGCTCTAGTAGGGCCATAGCCCTTACCAGTTCCACTTGCACCCACTTCCCCCAGACCCACCACTCAAGTCTGCTCTCCCTACCCCAGGAGTCCATGACAAGCAGGAACAGACAGCCAGGAAAAACACTTCCAAATGGCTCCTTCCTGGAGCCTCTCACTACCATCCTGCTCCCTGGCTGGGCTATCTCTAAGGGCAGATGTCACCTCCCCTCCTACACCAAAGGCAGGCAGGAGGACCAGACAGGTAGATGGGTGGGACCAGGAGCCTCCCTCCTTCCAGGCCTTTCTTCCCAGTATCTGCCTCAGCTGACACAGCCCTTGACCCAGGGATCCATTGTCTCCTCAGCTGGGGAGGGCATGGCGCCCCACTCCGGCTGGACCTCACACAGCCCCTTCTCAGCAAAGGGGCCCAGAGAGCCAAGACTTCCTGACTTGGCCTTGGGTGGCCCCGCTCTGACACTTGGGAAGAACTGGCCAGAGCAGACAGAACCTGGACACAGGATCCTGCAGGAAAGGGAGGGGCCGGCCGAGCAGCTTGCTGGGAGGAGAGAGAGCTTTGAGGCTGAGGGGGACAAAATAGCAAGAGGGCTTTTATGCAGAGGAGAGCCTGGAGGAGGGAAGGAGGCCAGGCCTCCCAGCATCTCATCTGCGCAGTCAGGGCTTCTTAGGGCGGCTGTGTGACTTGGAGCCGGGTTCCTGGCAGGGTTCTGTCCAGCTCACCTTGTCGATGAAGGAGGCGAACTTGTTGTTTAGGGTCTTGATCTGCTCGCGCTCCTCTTGGCGCACTTGGCGGATGGCGGGGTCGATGTTCGACCGCATTGGGGCCAGCAGGTTCTGATTGATGGTGACCTCACGGAAGCCGGCGCCCACTGGGCCCCCATAGACGGAGCCGACCGGCACGCGCGGCCGTGAGGTGCCCAGGTTGTAGAGGCTGCGGCTGCTGGCGAAGCCGCCCGGGCGTCCGGCGTTCAGGCGCACCTGGGCGCTGCGCCTCGGGAGGGCAGCGGAGCTGGAGCTGAAGACCTGCGTGCTGAAGTGGACGGACATGGTGACTACACCGGGCTGATCCCCGCGGCAAGAGAGGATCTGAGCGAACTGGCTGACCTGCGGCCGACTGCGCCCTTTTTATCGCTCGGGGCTGCAGGGCGGCTGCACTAGCACAGGTAGGGGCGGGGCGGGGCTGGACGCAGGCCACCTTTCTCGCCGCGGGCCCCTCCTGGGCCGCGCTTCCGCCCTCAGCGCCTCCCACCCGCCCAACCTAGTCCTAGCTTTCGGTCCCTGCAGGAACCGTCCGCAGTAGGTAGACACGCCCCACAGACACCCAGGTGACCACAGAGAACAGCAGGGGACAGCATCTTGAGCCATCTGTTGACCTCACAGAAACCAGCTCCCAGCCGACCAGGGAAGGCTCCCCCAGCAAGCTTGGGAAAGGGGCAAAGAGCGTCCAGATTTCTCACGCCTGCGGAGAGACCAAATAAGGGACCAGGGAGGAGGTGGACAAAAGCCAGATCAGACGTCAGGGTCCAAACCCCCCACCACAGGTTCTGAAGCCAGAAAGGCGGCCCTGACCCCAGGTACTGCAGGGGAGGTCTGCTAAGCTCTTGAGTAATCTGACCTGTGATAGACCTGACCTAGCTGTTTTTCCTGACCAACCCCCACCCCTCCATGTTGAAACTAGAAACCAGGTTTCTTCCTTCCCAATCCAGTGGGCACTGGAAGCCCCGGTCTGCGCCCCACACCCTACTCAAAAATTCCTGCCCACTTGTATGTGCTTCTGCAGAGGAGAGGGATGCTTGCGTGCCTTGCACTTTGTGGTTGTGTGTACCCTTGTGGGTGCCCACGCTCCTAGACATCGGCATGTCTGTGAGCTACTTACACAAGTGGGAGTCTGTGTGTGCATGGGGGGGGGTGTGTCTGAATACACAACTGCCCACATTTATATTATACCCATGTGCAGGTGCTTCTACTCACACTCAAACACTCCTCACCCCCGTTTTCTTGTTTTATAGCCCCCACCTGAGCCCCCACCAGCCAGTTCCCAGCAGTTTCAGGCCTAGTGGGGAGGGCGGTCAGCCTGTGCTAGAGCAGGGACCCCTGGGGTAGTCGCTGCCTAAGAGTGGGCTGGCTTTGAGGTTGCCTCCTGCACACTTGCACAGCCCTCCCCCCTTTCCCCACACCTATTGAGTCAGACTTTAGCTGACCCAAAGAGCTGGCCAGAACGTCACAGCCAGCCAAGCCCTGGGGGGAGAGAGGCTAGGGGAAAGGTGGAATATCCATCCTGGTTTGCCATTTCCGTTAGAAATCCCCAAACAGGCAAAAGAGAGCCATCGTTTAATGTAATTATACACACACACAGAAGTCTCCAACTTCCCTACCTCTCAGGACTCATCAACTCTTTTTACCAACAGAGCCCACGTTGTGCCACTGGCCCCTCTCATCCCCTCCCCCTTCTAGTCCCCAGAGGCTCTGCTATCCAGATGCTGTGTCCACCCACACTAGGGGTCCCTCCCACCCTAGAGTCTGGCCATTCCCCACGCCTGGCTGGGAAGTCTTGGCAGGCCACTGCTAGAGAACTGCGACCCTAGGCAACCATGTCCCTCCCTGGGCCACTCTTCCTTCACCAACTATGAAATCCTTGGGTTCCCGCCCCCGAGGAGTTGGGAGGAGGCACTGCAAAAAAAAAAAAAAGAGCATCTGGGCTCTTCAGGCCGGACTTCAGCCCACACCCAGCCCTCACCCTCCAGCCACATTTCCCCATTCCAGGGCCTGCCTGATGTCAGACCCAGCCTCTCATCTCATCTCCTCCTGGAAACATTCCTGGCGGTCCAGCACTGACCAGATTCTTCCTGTCTCCACATTTGCAGATAACCCTGGGAGCCAGGCAGCACATACAAACACCAGGGCCTGCCAACACTGCCAGACTGTGATCAAATTCCCCCGGAGAGTTCATATCCTAGTGGTTCATTCAAATCCAATCTCCTGTGTATGCACACACACACACACACACACACACACACACACACACACACACACCCTGCAAGCTTCTGTTGGCCCCACAGAGACTACCTTTCAAGATCCTGGACAGAAACCTGACCATTTAATTCCCACAAAGCCTTTTCCCAGTGGTCCTCTGTCCACCCTGAAGGCAGGAGGTTCTAGGACTCACACACACCCAGCAAGCCAAGCACACACTGGTTGACCTCTCACTACCATCCTTGACCTCTAAAACCCAGCTATGAACAGCAGCAGCCCCAGGTCTTCAGCCCTCCTTGGCTCCACTAGCCCTGACCCAGATACCGCAGAGCCCTGCTGCTCCTCCCCCAGGGAGCGGGAAACATTCTCTGGCTCCCTGCTGCATGTTCAGAACTATTACTCATTGTCCATTCCCTAAAAACATATCTTTGCGTTCTGTAAGGGAAAAAAACAGTTTTTCATCATCTTGGAATGAAGATGCTGGTAGTCATAGCAAAAGCCATAGAACAATGTTTCTAGCGGAGAACAACAACAGCCACAAAAAGCCATGGAACATTTCGGCATGAAATGTAATACTTTTTTCAAAAATTGAAAACTTGATGGATCTGGAGACCATCATGTTGAGCAACTAAGTCAGACTCAGAAAGATAAATGTTGCATGTTCTCCCTGCTGTGTGAAATGTAAAAAAGATGAAAAAAAAAAGTAGAAGGGAAACTATTATTAGACACAAGGAAGGGAATAAGAGGGAGGACAGGGTTACAGATGTGGGTAACAGGCTGGGTGGATATGAGCAGAAGATGCACACTGAACTCCCCGCCCTGGAAAATGTGAAACTGGGTGAGAGTGGGGTAAGGAGAATCATGGGGGTAAAAATTATCAAAGTATAATATGTAAATGTACAAATCTGCCAAAATGAAACCCATTAATCTGTGTAACTAATAAAAAAGAATGAAAAAGGAAAAGTCAAGATAAAAGGAAAGAAGTAACCCTTAGGCTAGCCAGCAGGCTACTTTCTTGAGAATATGAATCAATAAGAAAAAGACAAAAAGACATTCTGTTTTCCCACAACAGAAACGTGGGCTTTAGACGTGAATAATATGAGCTATTAGACATGTGCCGGGCACTGTCATCCTCAGCACTTTGAACCTACTAAGCCCTTTAGTGATCACGATAACCCTAGGAGGCAGGTGTGTATTATTATCTCCATTTAAGCCAAGAAACTGAGGCACAAAAAATTCAAGTAAATTGCCCAGGTTCACACAGCTGGTAGTAGAAAAGCTAAGCTTTGAACTTTAGTGTCTGGAACCACTAGGTTATTTACAAAAAGGATAAAAGAAAGAATGCATGAATGAATCAAAGAAAGAACATCATTCAGCAAATGTAAAAAGAAGCTACCCCCACTTGAATTAAAGAAATATAAGAATAGAAGTGAAAACAATTTTTGCCTGTCAAATTTTCAAAAACTAAACTATTTGAAAACAGCATTTTGTGTTGGCAGCTGTGGAAGCAACAGAAAGTCTTACTATCTTCTTGGTGGGATTCTCAATTGTCACATCCTCTATGGAGGAGGGGAAGGTGGCAAAAGATCTCAAAATTAGAAAGACATTAGCCCTTACATCAATAAACACAACAAATAAAACGAAAGCACTAGTCTTTTGACTGAGTCATTCCAGTGCCAGGTTCTTAACCTGTAGGTGTTCGCACACATATACATGACTTCTGCTGCAATTGTTTTATATTCATGAAAACCTAGAAGCATAAATGCCCACATCAATGGGAAGTGATTAAAGGAATTGAGCTACATACACTCAATGGAATGCTATTTATTGAAATGAATGGCTCTTTTATACACTGTTTGAGTTTTTAACCTTTATGCAGATTGCAAAATCACTGTAATTTTAAAAACTCCTGCAAAGCTCATGCTATCCAACTGTACCAGGCCTCCATCCTTCCTCTGTGGCATTCCCTCCTGGCCCACAGCCACCTCCGGCCTCCTGGCATCATGTTCAGTAGGGACCCTGGCACCTAGGCTCTGGCACTTCTGTGCACCTGGGCATCCTCATTCTCCACACAGATGACACACTCAGCGTCTTGTTCTCAGGGGTAGGAATTGCTTGAGCTGCTTGATTCCAATAACTTTCACTTCCATCCTTCTTCTCCTGACCCCCTCCACCTGTACTCATACTCTACAGTCTAGACCTTAAACTGTTCCCCCTCTGAGAAACAGTTTGAACTGCAGGGCCACTTATTTCTAACTCTTTGTTGTCAGCAAATGGATTCCTCAGCTCCACCAGCAACCCAGTCCTGAGCCCAGCTCGTCCATTCTCTCCCCACCCACCACTTTCCTTCAGACTTTCTTTCCAGCTTGGACCCGTTGGCCATGGCCTCACTCTCTGACCTTCTAACTGCAGTCTGCTCTGCTTGGATAAATCCCCAGAGCTCAGTGAAGAAAGTCACATCCCCAAGGTCTGATGTCACCACCAACACACCGCCAGCTCAGTTCTGCCCGCTTCGATCCTGGGCCCTCCCTCTGCTCCTGGCTGGTAGCCTCTCCCAGGTCTCTCAGCTGCTACTGCAAACTTCTTTATCCTCTCCCTATTCCCCATCTTACCCCTACCTTTTCCCCTCAACAAGCAATCGGGGCAATCAGCTTTGCTGAGAAAATCAAGGCCATCTGGTGAAAATGCCTTTACCTCCCCATCGTTCTCTGCCCCTCCCTCCAGACTGAGGACAGACAGTCCCTCCAGCAGGGCCCTGGACACCAGCCTCTCTCACCTCTTCAGGCCTTCCAGCAATCACACCACCTTCCTAACACGCTCCTGCCTCCCGATCTCCTACCTCCCTCCTCCAGCCACCTTCCCCTTTCCCTTCCCAACACACAATTTTATTGGAGCTGTGGGGGTGGGGAGTGCCAAATGTCAGTGGCCATGTTTCAAGGGAGCAAGGACGTGCAAACTGAGAGGGGCCATTACAATGTCAAGGGCACTGGGCAGAAAGGGCAAGTGAGGTGAGAAGTTAGCTTGAGCAGAAGGCAAGTTCAAGGAAAGGACGATTTTATGACAGATGAAACCTG